AGCAGAAGGGTTAAAACTACAGAAGACATCAGATAAGAAACTGTGGCTAATTACCTAATATAGTGACGGGTGTGGGTTAACGAACGAGCGTATATTTTCTTTATTAAAATCCTCGAATGCACAGGCCGGTGGTTATAATACATATTCTTTTAAAAAGAGCTTAATGCAAGACGCCTTTAATATATACTAAACTAAGAACGATAGACACATTTACGTATATATATATATATATATATATATATATATATATACTGGACTCTCCCGTCGTATTAGACGTATGAGGGTCAAGCAGCTCAGTTCCTACGAACCGACAGCCTAGACACCAGCATGATTTGATTATAGTGATGAAGGCTTTGTCCAGGATACAGAATCCTGGTAATCCGAATACAGACACCTGGTGCACTACGTGCCACAAGGTCCCCAAACGACCTTCTCCTAGACCAGTTGCTATCCAAGGCTATAGAACCTGTCTATAGGGGAAGGATTAATACCTTTCCGAAGGTTATTAGGACGCAAGTGAATTTAATGGATTAATTTGGCACCGTCTGTGAGAAAAAGATCATGACGCAATTAATTCCACCAGATATTTGGAAACGGCATGCTGTATTGCTTGGCATTCGCATCGGAAACACCAATACGAACATTCCAGGTTGTTTGTATGTCAATCTGAGGACAGTACAAAGGATTCAGAAAGAGTTGGATGAGTCTAATGGTGATTACAATGGCACATCAACACGGAAATATCACTCTGGTCGTTCTGATAAAAAAGAAATTCGAATTAGTTAGCGATGGCTTCAGACTCAACACGGAGGCCTACATCAAGTGTAATGAGAAGTTAGTGCTGCCCTGGCTCAAGAGGATATCTACTGGAAGACCCTATGACTGGCAACAGGAATCCTGCATCATTCCACATGTGTGGGGCACAGTTGAGCGAGAGACTAAAAAAACTCCTTGTAAAGCCAAAGATAAATTGAAGGCAAACATTCACCAATTTAAAAGGTGACCGTCCGGAAGAGTTGAAGGAGATTCCGATGTCGTCCCGGAGTCCGTCGTTGAAGCCAATGGCAATTTTATTCAATAAATTTAATCTTTAGTATTTCAAGATATTTTTGTGTAATTTTGGTAAATATATCTGTTAAAATGAGATGTCAATGTTATTTACATTTTTCCGTCATTTAGACGACAATTTATACATCGCACCCTATTATGTATGGAGTGGAGTAAGCCCGACGGTTATTTAATATATTTTCTGTTTACACGTTATTTTAATAGATATGATTTATGCTTTCTTTGTGTCAGGCCCGTAATTGTAATTAATACTGTTTATTAAAAAAAAAAAAAAAACAAACAAAAAAAAAAACAGAGCATTTACTTAAATAAATTGTATCTCTTAAAATAACGTATAAATAGAAAGAATATTAAATAATTGTTGGACTTGAGAGATTGTCGAAGATTTGTTGTTTATAAACAGTAATTCGGACATTACTAACTATTCGATTCTTTGTGGCAGAAGGGTTACAGATTCGATTCCAGTCGGAGAAGCACATATCTTATATATATCATATCATCAAAGTCAACACTCAGAGGCGACAGGCTGTTTCATACTAGACACAATCATCAGGCGGCCTGACATTTGCGTCTAGCAAAAAACAGCCTGTCGCCTCAGAGTGTTGACTTCAATGTTCACTTTTATATTTACATACGTTCTATCTCTGATATTGAGCACTTTATCCCAAAATATAGCGCACCTTAAAACTATATTTCTTCATATATATATATATATATATATATATATATATATATATATATATATATATATATATGTATATATATATATATACATACATATATATATACATATATATATACATACATATATATATATATACATATATATATATATATATATATATATATATATACATACATACATATATATATATATATATATATATATATATATATATATATATATATATATATATATATCTATGTAAACAATGACAGAGTATCATCACTGTCTTGTCCGTATATTATTTAATATGTTGTAATTGACATCTTTGATAATGGCTTAAGTAAGCTGAAAACTTAGATTATATTAAAAAATATGGATCAATATTGTGATTTTCTTTCTTCGTTCAGCGATAATGTTATTAAATTTATCAGACGTTACGAAAAAAATTTACATTGAATAAATAGACAACACTTGTCTATTTTATTTAAATATATAAAATATATATATATATATATATATATATATATATATATATATATATATATATCAGATTTAGTAATAATTTCTATTTTGGGAGTCGATTGTAATAACAAATGCATCATCCTAAATCATCGTTCCTTAAATATATCATAACAGGTGATGATCCAAAAAGTTAAACACCATGGAAGAAAGGCAATTTTCTTTGTATGATGATATTAATAATTTAGAATGCTTAAAATGCTATGCAATAATAATTGTTATACGCTAGAAGCGTCGGTTTGTGAATTTATATCACTTCGTACTTGCGAGTTCGATCCCTGGGCGGGTAGTGTGTAACTGAACTCAGTGTTAACCAGACGAACAATAAATGAGAGTTAGTCAAAATAAGAACTAGGCGAAATATCCCTAGACATGAGAAGTGGAACGTGAACAGTCTAAGTCTAGATAGGTTATTCTTATCGACATCAAAACAATGAAGGCTACATCAACCGAAACGTTTTAACAATAAAAACAAAGACCCCAGTGAAGTGGGGGTAGAGAGTATTAGTCTGCATGTAAACAATGATAACTCCTTATACGGGAAATTCAAACAGAAACGCCTTTGGCTCAAT